AAAGAAAAAAAAACTGATTATTGAATTATCGCTAATTTTATGGTTTTTAGGTTCACTTGGTGGCAGCACGGTGGATCAGTTGGTAGAGCTGTTGCCTCTCAGCTAGAAGGGTTGCCGGATCAAATCCTGGGGAATCCAGGGGCATTTCTGGGTGGAGTTTGCATGCTCTCTCCGTGCATGCATGGGTTTTCTCTGGGCACTCCAGTTTTCTCCCACAGAACAAAAACATGCATGTTAGGCTGATTGGTAACTCTAAATTGTCTCTAGGTGTGAGTGAGTGAGAGAGTGAATGGTTGTTTGTCTCGTTTGTCTGTATGTGTCCCTGTGGTGGACTGGACACCTGTCCAAGGTGTCCCCCAAGCACAGTGACTGCTGGACATGGGCACCAGCGACCCTCATGCCCTGAAAAGGAAGAAGCGTGTGAAGATAACGGACGGATGGATAAAAGGATCACTTGGCTGTAGCAGTGGCCATCTTGAATTGTATTGACTCCAAAAGCTAATTATTTGCAAATGTCCATCCTTTGAATATTTTCTGATTGTTTTATTAAAATTTGTTGAGTGTTTCATGACATAATTTGCTAGCAGGTAGATACAGTTAACTACAAATAGTTAATAGCAAAATTGTAAATAAAAATGCTGCACAATTTGTTAGCTCTGTAAGTGTGTGTAGCAGATCAGTCTCTGATGTAACACCAAGTTTTAGATCAAAATCTGTCAAACTGACGTTTGGACATTTTCATGCAGTTTTTTGCAATAACGACATCTTTAAAGGAAGGTGCATTTTGTCAGACTGATCAAGAGTAACTAGTCCTTTAGAGCTGCTGTTTATGAAGGCTGGGCCTTTGTACAGATTGCTGGAGCACTGCAGACGCCACAGATACCTGTCCCAGTCTGGAGAGGAGCTGGCCCTGCTGCTGAGCAGCCTGCTGGAGAACCTTCTGGCGTACCGAACCATCGCACAAGATGGAAGTCCTGAGCACCGCATGAGCTGCACTGTCAACGTGCTGGTAGGCTGCATCACTGTTTACATCGAGTTACTTGTCCAACACTAACACAAGTTGTTTTCAGGAATGTGATACAAAAATGATTTTTTTTCTATTTGCAGAATTTCTACAAAGAAAAAAAGAGGGAGGACATTTACATCCGGTGAGTCAGGAAGGATCACAAACCTGATTATGGACCGATACCTGAACTCAGGGGTCTGCAACCTGTGGTGTGGCTCCTCTGCCCCTCTCAAACGATTCCTTGCAACATCAACCAAAAGTGATATGAACCTGAGTAATGTTTAAATTAAAACTGATCATAGAAACGGGCACTTTTAGCAGTTTTTCTGCTCAGATTTTTGTAGTTAATGCGTGGACTATATGCAACAGGAAATGTCAGATCGTTCGGGTGGGTTGGGCCTCCTGTGGGAACCCAGTTTTTAAAGATAAATTAATAAACACATATCAGTAATTATAAATATGCAGTTTCCTATCATTTCAGTACTAGAATGAGTCCATTAAGTTTTCACTAGAATATGTTTAAAATGCAATGATCAGTTTTACTGTTGAGCTAACTGATTACCTTTTCCTTGCATTATTTATGCAGTTTTTTGACATACACTGCAGTCTCTCTCTAAATCTACCAGAAAATTAAAAATTTTTCAACATACTTGAGATAAATTTCTGAAAAAGCAGAAAATGGTTTTGCACGTCTGTTGAAAATTACAAAATTTTAAGACATCAAAACAAGATGCAACAGTAACATACAGCAAGTTATTCTTACATGAAAAATAAATAAAGATGTCACAAATTCAAGCTGAGTCACTTTGTTCCAGGAAATAAAGATTGTGTTTTCTGTCTTAAATACCAGCAAAGTGATCAGATATTGTTTTTACTTGTCGAGACGATAGGGTGCAACTTATTTCTGTTTTTTAAAGTGGACTACCTATTTTAATAATTTTCTACAAATGAGTAAAATATGTATTTTTGTACAAACTCAAATGACAAGTTTATGCAGAAACAAGAAGTTCTGTAGCATTGTCTTGTACAAAACTATATAGTTTATTCTTTTCTTTAGGTCTAACACTTACAAAAGAAAATGTGAATGCCACAAACTAGTCTTTTTATAAACAGGACATGAAATAATACAGCTTTAATAATTGTTTTTTTTTTTTTTCTCAATTTTTTAAAAGTTTTTATTTCTTATTTTTTTACAAACGATATTTATTTGAAGAGAACTGTCTCTTCCAGTTCAGGTCGGCTCACCCTGGTCTAACTTCTGTGATCTTGTGAACAGGTACTTGCACAAGCTGCGAAATTTGCATCTGGACTGTGAGAACTACACGGAGGCTGCTTACACCCTGCTGCTGCATGCTGAATTACTGGAGGTCTCCTACACTTACACGCTCGTGTCACACACCAACAGATCTATATGTTTGTTTTTATGATGACTTTCTTCTCCAGTGGTCAGATAAACTTTGTGCACCTCATCTGATACCTCGAGACGGGGAGCGCACGTGGACCCAACAGGAGCTGAAGGAGAGGCTCTTCCATGAGATCATTTGTTACTTTGACAAGGGCAAGGTGATTGTAACTGCTGAACATGGCAGCTTAGCATAAAACATAACTTACTTTGATGTATTGTGTCGAAACTCATGGGGATGTTACGTCAGCTCCTTCACAAACCACAGAAATATGCGTTGTGGGGGGGTGGGTAGATTCATTAAAAGATGGCAGATGGCTAAGTCTAATTTCTGCTTCAGTCTTTATGTTCAGGTCTTATGCCTCTCCCCTCCCCCTGTTTAAACGAGTGCTCTGCTTGTATTCTCAGATGTGGGAGAAGGCCATTGAGCTGGGCAAACAGCTGGCTAAGATGCACGAGACCCACATGTTTGACTTCATGGAGCTGAGCCAGCTGCTGGTAAGAGGAGTTGTTCAGCATCATCTCACCTAAAACTGACAAAACCCTCAGCTTCATGAAGTGACATGAAAACAGCTGTAGTCAAATGTATTATTTAAGCCTAAAACATAATAAAGGAGACATGAATGTGGCTTTATCCAGCTCATTATGTCTGCTCATACTGTTTCATTTCATTATATATTTTTTTAGAATGCCTGTGTTAGTTTTGTAGCGGATTTATTCTTTCTTTGTTTCAGTTTATAACCACTGGCAGGCTATATTTACAACTTACATTATGTAATTCTTTCTTACCACTATTTGTTGCCGTTTTTTACAGAAAAACCAAGCCAAGTTCTATGAAAACATAATGCATGCAATGCGGCCACAGCCAGAGTACTTTGCTGTTGGATACTACGGCCTTGGACTCCCTTCTTTCCTCAGGGTGAGAAAATTATTACCTGTTTCAATAAACTGAGACTCGGAGAAACTCTCATATTGTTGTGCTCACGCAACGAGCTGGCATTTTGAAATATTTCTCGGGGCAACGTGCAATCATTCCAATGAAGGTTATTGGCTTTCTGTTGTTGTGAGAGAATGTGAGTATGAAGGCAGTTTTGTCAATGACTCTCATTTTGTAAAGAAATGAACTATAATGACATTTGTTTCTGTTTATGGACTTTCATTCAAGAACTTATTTTTTCTCTTCTGCAGAACAAGATGTTTGTCTATCGAGGTAAAGAGTATGAGTGGCTGGAAGACTTCAGCTTAAAGCTGCTCTCTCAGTTCCCTAATGCGGTCCGGATGACGAGCACAGCGCCCCCCGGAGACGACATCTGCAGCTCACCTGGACAGTGTATCCTTTAAAAGACCACAGAAATGTTGTTGCACATGTTAATGTTCTTGAGGCATGCTACCAATTTAGTAAAGTAAATTTTGTGCAGAAACAGTGGATAGCCAAAGTATTCAACCCATTAGTATTACAGGTGCTAGTCATAAAATGGGAATATCATGAAAAAGTTGATTTATTTCAGTAATTCCATTCAAAAAGTGAAACTTGTATATTATATTCATTTATTACGCATAAACTGATATATTTCAAATGTTTATTTCTTTTAATGTTGATGATTATAACTGACAACTAATGAAAACCCCAAATTCAGTATCTCAGAAAATTAGAATATTATTTAAGACCAATTAAAAAAAGATTTTTAGAAATGTTGGCCAACTGAAAAGTATGAACATGAAAAGTATGAACATGAAAGTATGAGCATGTACAGCATCAATACTTGGTTGTTGCTCCTTTAGCCTGGATTATTGCAGCAATGCGGCGTGACATGGAGTCGATCAGTCTGTGTCACTGCTCAGGTGTTATGAGAGCCCAGTTTGCTCTGATAGTGGTCCTCAGCTTTTCTGAATTGTTGGGTTTGGTGTATCACATCTTCCTCTTCACAATAGATTTTCTATGGGGTTAAGGTCAGGCGAGTTTGCTGATCAGTTAAGAACAGGGATACCATGGTCCTTAAACCAGGTACTGGTAACTTTGGTACTGTGTGCAGGTGCCAAGTCCTGTTGGAAAATTAAATCTGTATCTCCATAAAGTTGGTCAGCAGCAGGAAGGATGAAGTCTCTAAAACTTCCTGGTAGATGGCTGCATTGACCGTAGACCTCAGAAAACGCAGTGGACCAACACCAGCAGATGACATGGCACCCCAAACCATCACTGACTGTGGAAACTTGACACTGGACCTCAAGCAACGTGGATTATGTGCCAAATGAAATGCAACATTTACTTTCATCAGAGGACATAACTTTGGAACACTCAGCAGCAGTCCCAGGCGAGACACTTATGACGCTGTCTCTTGTTCAAGAGTGGCTTGACACAAGGAATGTGACAGCAGAACCGCTTGTCTCTCATACGTCTGGGCGTGGTGGTTCTTGAAGCACTGACTCCAGCTGCAGTCCACTCTTTGTGAATCTCCCCCACATTTTGGAATGAGTTTTGTTTCACCATCCTCTCCAGGGTGCGGTTATCCCTATTGTTTGCACACTTTTTTCCTATAACATCATTGCCTTCCCTTCGCTTCTCTATTAATGTGCTTGGACACAGAGCTCTGTGAACAGCCAGCCTCTTTAGCAATTACTTTTTTTGTGTCTTGCCCTCCTTGTGCATGGTGTCAGTGGTTGTATTTTGGACAAATGTCAAGTCAGCAGTCTTCCTCGTGATTGTGAAGCCTACAGAACTAGACTGTGACCATTTAAAGGCCTTTTTCAAGTGTTTTGAGTTAATTAGCTGATTAGAGTGTGGCACTAGGTGTCTTCAATAATGAACCTTTTGACCCAAATGTATTAACTTTTTTTGCTATAAGGTTTTTATCATTACCTTCAGAAAACACATATTTGGTTAAATAAAGCACCCCTGTGGCCCGTCTGAGGATCATATGAAGGAATGACAGATGGAGCAAAATATTTAAAAAAATTATTTAGCCACAGTTAAAATTAGGGCAAAGGTTCACCTTCCCGGGAAACAATGACCTACACAGTGCTGCAGGAACACTGAAGTGGTTTAAGGAGAACCAGTTGAATATTCCTGTAATGGTCCAGTCAAAGCCCATCATCCAACCTGAGGGAGCTGGAACAGTTCGTTCATGAAGAATGGACAAAGATTCAAGTCGTAAGATGAGCCAAAATTATGGAGATAAACTGGAACGGACTTTATTCTGTAACCGCTGCAAACCTTGCCTCTGTGAAGGATTGAGTTTGACTGCTCAGGGTTTATTTGTCTAATTGTTCTTCAAAGTGTTGACTAAAATAAAAATTTATTTTAAACTCCACTGTTGTAAGGCAACTTAACGTTCCTAATATGTATTTCTAATTAATTTAAGTTAAGTAATAACCCAGTTAAGATAATTGTTCTCAGTATTTGCTAACTGCAATCTCAGAAATGGACTACAGTAGTCCCTCCCTACTTCACAGTTCGTTTTTCACAGACTCGCTCTATTGCGGATTTTCAAAATAAGATTGGACCCGACACACAAATGGCTGATTGATGGATGAGCCGCACGATTGGCATGGAATTTTTATTTAAAATAAATTATTTAAAATTATTTGGCACCTGATGCACCTTTTTGCAGCCCACAGCTGCAGAAAAAGCTTCCTCCTGCAGCGTGTCAGGGTCTCCGCTCTGCAATGGAGAAGTGGGCATGGCCAAGAACACTGGCATATGGCAGAGAGCTGAAATCATGACATTCTGTTGCTCTTTTAGAGTGTTTAGAGTTTAGAAACATTGTTTAGAATATTGCAAGAGTGTATAAAATAAACTACTATTTACTACTTGTACTACTATTCCTACTTTGTGGTTTTTCACTTATCACGGTGCTTCAGGGTACGGATCCCCCGCTATAAACGGGGGACTACTGTATTTCAAATAAAAAAATTAAAAACCATGAACCATTTAGTGCTTATCATCTGCTCGATTGTTTCTGTTCCCGTCCTTATCTGATCTCGACAGACATCCAGTGTTTTACTGTGAAGCCCGTTCTCACAGTGCCCCCCCAGTTTAAAGACAAGGGGGTTCCAGAGCAGATATTGAAGTGAGTAACAAAACTCTTGCAGACCCATGTATTTCACAGTCAATTTCAGGAGGAGGGTTTATAGTTCTCGGGTCAAAGTTCTCTCTCAGTCCTGTCCTCTCCTGTCCTCCTGCAGCTATTATAGAACCAACGAAGTGGACCAGTTCCAGTACTCCAGACCCTTTAGGAAAGGTGAAAAGGACCCAGACAATGAATTCGCAGTGAGCACTTTTCTAAAATTTGCTTTTAAAGTAATAAAAATATGTGTGAGCACACACGCGCAGATAAAAGTAAATTAACTCTGTGCATGCACATACTACACTCTGAAGATTAATGAAGACATGAAAATTTTTACCCTTGAATAATTTATCGATATTCTGGCCCACAGACCATGTGGATTGAGAGAACTACTTATGTTACCGCCTATCGCTTCCCGGGGATTCTCAAATGGTTTGAAGTAAAATCTGTCTCCGTGGTAAGAGGCAGCCTTGATGCTCTGACTGGGCTGTTTGTTGTATCTTAACAAATTCATAAATGAGCTGAGCATTTTGCCGCTTCACAGGAGGAGATCAGCCCTTTAAAGAACGCCATAGAGACTATGGAGAAGGCCAATGAGAAGCTGAGTAATCTGGTGCAGCAGCAAGCGTACGACCGCTCGCTGTCCGTCAACCCGCTGTCCATGATGCTCAACGGCATCGTTGACCCCGCCGTCATGGGTGGCTTCGCCAACTACGAGAAGGTTTGATTTTCTAATTTAATCTGACAGGTTTGCTGCAGAGTGCACGTTTTATGCCTCCAGCAACTAACCGGACACTTTAAAGTTTCATGGTGTCCATATTTATATTCAATTCTTTGTGAATGCTGTTTTATATAAAACCCTAATTTAAACAGTTTCATTCAGATTTATCAACAGGTCCAAAGTTTCGTGTTAGGAGCATAATTTTGGCAGTATAAACCTAAAACGACAGTTTCACTCTAGTGTCTGTTTGTGTAAAGTGACAATAGGATGACATTTTGTAATTCAAAGGTCAAACTGGATTGGACTGGTTGTGAACGTCTGTTTGACTGGTGACCGAGGCAGACAGCTGCAAGGAAGCAATTCTAGTTTGAATTGCATCAAATAAAAAGCTTTTATTTTTTAATTGGGTCATTTCGCAACACCCTTCCCCCTCACCAAACAATTATAGGATCTCTGCACATTTTAATTCAGTCAGAGACCTTTACAATATCTATAATTAAAGGCTTTTGATTTTAGAGAAACAATTGTTCCTCTTTTCAAATATGAGTGATGCAAGTTGGTGATGATGTGCTTTCCATTAAGGATTTCTACATGCATTAATTACCAGCTGGTGTTTGTAGCCATTTTATAGTGTTAATGTAGAGCTGCAGTGACCACTGATCGATCTATCTTCTATCTGATTACCTGCTCAGATCATTTGGTGTCCCCTCCTCTGCTCCTCCGTAGTTCCATCTTTAACATATTAACCTTTAGAGCCAAGCCCATTTAAGATGACCTCTACAAATAATTGGCATTAGATGATCCCAGACAGACTATAATTCAGTGACTTTGACTAGCGTTGAGTTCATATTTGATGTGGTAGTAGCTGAGAGTCTTTCACAACACATACTCTGTTTGTGGCGTCACACAAAATCATGAATAATGTTATTCTCAAGGTTTGACCAAAACAGCTACAATTTCACTTCTCAACATAAAATTATTTTAGTCATAACTCTGACCTGAAAAGGCAGCAGGTAAATGATTTTATATATGCTCAGGCTAGATACACAAAAACAATTACCTTTGAAAGTTTATTTGTGCTCTAAACAGTTAATTTTGTGTTTGCATGCATCTTTGCACATTGTGCATTTAAAATTGTGAATACAGTACTCCCTAGTTTCTCGTGGGGGGTTCTGTTCTCAGCTCCCCCGTGAAAAGAGAAAAACCGCGATGTACGAGTAGTAGTACAAGTAATAAGTACCGTATTTTTCGCTGTATAAGTCGTGTTTTTTTGCATAATTTGCATACTCTGCGACTTATAGGCCAAAGCAACATATGTATGGACCCCCCCCCCCCCCCCCCCACCCCCCCACACCACAAAACACAAAACAACCAAACCTAAACACAATACATAATATTCCTTCTC